CCATAATGCGAGCGATCCCACCCTCTGGCTGCACGGGCGATGTAGGACTTCGACTCGCCTCGCGCGCCAGCGACTTTCGTGCGGGAAGTGCGCTGTGTCGGCTGCGCATCGGAACCGGCAGCCGGCAGTGGTGTAGCGGTCACACCAGTGGCCGTGCGGCGGTATCATTCCAGTCGAGCTTCTGGCGGCTGGTCTGGGTGCTCACACCCGCGCCAATAACGGTTTCTGTTTGTGAACAGTGCGAACGAATCAGCCCAAATGGTTGTTGCAGAAGGCCTTTTAGTCAGAGTAGTAGCCGCTCAGCCCCAACGCGTACGCTCTACCGTGCTGCCGCTGATGATTCGTTCGCCCTCGCCTGTGGTTGAGCAGGATATTCCCCTCAGCTCGACCCGATCAGCGTGTTCGCAGCCAATTGTCGTTCCAAAGGTGCCACCCCTTCTTGCGCAGCGTCGGCCTATCCCCGTGATGGCCCCATTTACGCTCTCCCGCAGCTCCGTGCTCCACCACCCATCGCTCGTTTTTCTGCGCTGGCTCTGTGCCAAAGTCGCTCGGCGCCGCGAGGTATCGTGCTCATTCAAGTGCTGCGGCTGTGAGAGCGGAATGTCGCTTTGCGTCCCAGGGTTCTCGGCGGCTCCCAGGCAAGCGGGGTGAGTCCGGTACTAACGGCGGAGATCTCTACCTGGATCTCTCAAGTTCGTGTTTAAGGAATCCTGTGGATTGAAGCACGGTCGTAGTTGCATTTTTTGGCATTCATACTATTGCATGTAGCATCTAGCAATAACCGCCACGAGCTCAGAGATGAAAGGAAAGCTCAGAGAGCAGGGGTGCCAAAACCACTGATGTTGAAGTTGATGCTCTGCCGCGCCGACACATGATCCATGTCGAGCACTCTCGGAAAGTGGGTGCCTTGACGCACGCGGAACCCCGCTGCTACGCATGCGCACGAGCTGCTTTTTAGAAATGTCCACCACTGGGGATCACTGCGGATTCTGGTAGCACGTGATAGGATCTCGATCTCCGGCCTTCATGGGCTACGCGGATGAAACGAATAATGACAACGTCAGGACTTGCAATGTTACATACGCGATAAATCAGACAAAACATCTACGTGTGTTCTCACAAAAGAGTTGCAAGTCACGACTTCGTGAGCGGTCGTCACCCCGATTCACGTCACAAACAGCCTTTAGGCGCTGCCGGACCGGCCTGGCGTGATTTATCAACCAGGTGCAGCACTAAATAACTGAAACGCCCAGAAATTGGTGTTCCTTTTCCGCCACAGATCAAAACTAGGAATAGCATCGTTGCTTTTGTGGGACGCTTCCTATGCGTCGTCATTGCCGTAACGTCACCAATTGTCCGCAAAACTGGTGTCTTTTCCATCCGTCCGCCTCCCCTGCCCCTCCCCATGTCGGGACACGAGTGATCGAAGGCCATCGCGTAGTGTCAGACTGGGTGGCAAGTTGTAGCCTAATCCAGCTTCCATTTGCGATCGCGAGGGAGTAAACAAATCTGCTTCGAAAAAGATAACCAAGGCTCGTAAACTTAAAGCCAATGCTGAGACTAATCGAACCTCGTTGGATGTTGAATTAGCATGGCAGCTGATGCAGCGGTTGTTCTGTTTTGTTGTTGGTTAGTTTATTTTGTACGGTTATGTATCTTTTTTAATGCCATAAGCTGATAAATATGCATCAACAGTACGTATAAGAAACGTACACAAAAAGCAATATGATGATGAATTTGCAACAAAAAAAATACTTGAATGAAAGCAACACAATACACCACTCGCAACCGCATAATTTTCAGGCGCCCATGCAGGATTTCGTAATGCGGCGGCTCAGTTCAAAAGTTTTGACCGATAGACTCTATAGCGCGCTGGGGATGTGCGTAAGCTGATGTGTGGTGGATTACGACACGTGATTTCTCGACCTGCGTATTTTGACGGGCATATCTCGATTTTATTGTCCACATTGATTTACACTTATGTACAAAAAAACTAAGGAAGTCACGTGCCTCCAACCCCAACCCCTTGAATAGCCACTTTCTCATTTTATGACTGTGTGATACTCAGGTTTTTTCCTTTGTTTTTATTTGCTGCCTTGCAGTCCTCTCTGGGACATGTTCGTGTATGCAGAACCCGACCAACCCTGTACTGGTCCGACCAGCACTGGCCAGCTTACATGCATGCTTCCCGTGTATTTCGAAGGGGTCAGGACGTTGTCCAAAGTTGCACTGCACAAATGGCTGCGCCAGCTGCAGGGGCTAGGCGGCCGCGCCGTGTCGCCAACTGGTGATTGTGGGGTTAATACTCCACCTCCCCCCCCCCCCTTCTTTCCCGGGCTTCGGCTGAGGCCAAGCGCTCCTCGGTCGCACGCAGCCAACGGTGCGGCTCGGAAGCCTTTATAATATAGAAGTAGTTCTTTGGGTTTGACTGCATTGTGATACTACGTGTTTTCACGTGATTCGTAGTGGACCCGACAGGTGTGGCTGGCTTACATTAACCGCTGGATGTTTTCAGTTTGCCCGCTCACATTTCGCTTGCAGATAAACCATAAATTGCCTCTCTACACGGTTTTTGTGCGAGTTGGACGCCGTACAATAGCCGCAGACCATAAACTGCGGATCTTTTCCGTCGCAGTTGTGCTGAATGTGTCATACTTTTCGACACGCATCGCCGCTGCTGACAGAAAAGGCTTTCCTCCGCCATATCCTTCCAGTCAAGGCGGATATTCTTTTGGAGGAGAGGAGCTGAATGAATTTTGTTGTCATTTTTGAATATGGAGTGAGTGACTGATTTGGCCATATTTTTACAATCAGCGGTGGTTTATCGATTGTACCTTTCTTGTAAACCTGAACTTGATCTGACAGCGAGATTCGTGAAGCGAACACATGAACCTCAGGTATGACTAACATTGGGACGAGCGAGCCATCGTCCATCCCGAATACACCATACACCATTCCTGGCTATGTATTACACTTCACACTTTTCTCACTATTCCATCTCTTTTGGCTCATGCCCGATGTGCGTAATAAGGAAGTTCCTGTGAACAGAAAGTTCGCGTTAACGATGGCAGCATCTCCGACCGCGGATGGCTCGCTCGGATCGACCTCTTTTCGACCGGAGATAGCTCGCTCGGGTCGACCATCTCTCCGACCGGAGATAGCTCGCTCGGGTCGACCATCTCGCCAGCCAGAGATAGCTCGTTTGGTCTCCGACCGAAGATAATTCGCTAGGGCGGACCATCTCCCAAACAGAGATAGCTCTCTCAGGCCGACCATTTCCCGA